CTGGGCTATAATTTATTACATTCTTCATGTAATTCCAAAAGATTGATAATGTCTTCAACCAGCATGTTATCTTATCTGAATGTGATCCTTTTAGATCCATACTGCTCTTCAAATAAAAATAAAAATAAAATCATTAACCATCACAAGTCATCTCCCAAACCCAAAAGAGAAATTGATCCTCTGGGTTATAATCAGTAATAAATAAGGAGATCTCCCATTGGTAGCATTAAAGAGTCATTTAAAGTTTTTTTTTTAATGATTATCCATTAATTTTTCCACCTGACCATGTCAATGACTCTTCAAGTAGAAAGGATTGCCCTAAGAAGGAACAGGAAGACTAGTTGGTTTTGTGAAAATCTAAAGCTTGTTAAATTTGCCAGACTACCTTTTCATGAGATAATCAGTTGGTCACCAGCAGGTATTTTTCATTGGCTTCATATGGCAGAGTCTGAAGAATATGGGTTGATCGATGTGTCATTCATCAGGGGCACCTGCAGAGATGATGAAAGTTTATTGTACAATATTATGGAAAGCGGCACAACATTTAGCAAATTGAACCACACGTTTCACATTTCCTCCCCCTGCCTTTTTTTTTTAAACATTAAAATTGAAGTTTGAAAAACAACTTCCAGTGCAGAAAAAAATTAAAACAGCAGGTGATAATTAGGGCAAAGTTACAACAATGCTATTGCTGATGGGCTACCTGTCAGTTAATGCAAGCTATCACTTCTCCCCAGGAATAGTTACTATTAAAAATGACTTATGAGTCTTCAAGAAGGAACATTAAATGTGTTAGTCTCCTTATTTGCTAATTTGGAAACAGCATAAAGATAGATCCATTAACCAGCTCAGTTCTACCTTGCCCTCAGAGCAGACACACACACAAAATATGTAACTGAAAGTTATAAATGACCAAAACATAAACCTTAGTGCCTTGAGTTAAAAATCAATTTTCCTAATAAATTAAATTCAAACATTATATACCAGTATGTAATACCAAGAAAGATGTATTAATAATCGCCGTGTTGGCAGAGTGCAAAGTGCAAGACTTAAAGGGATGTAAAAATTTAGTAATTTAGAAAATCTGATACCAAAAATAGCTATCGCTGCATGGAGGGCTCAGAGTTTAGTTCAGTTGTTGAGCTATAATAGTATTCTCTGACTAGTCAAGGTTGAATGTTGAAGATGTAGTTTGAGTATTAATCATTGATTCGAATAAAAGTTTGCACAAATGGAGAGGCTCTCCTGGGTTAAGTAGTTTACTCCTGAACACAGATGTAAGTTTTTTCTTTTGTGTATTCCAGAGCCACTTGAGTGTCTTCCCTACTAAATAAGCAACCTCTTCTGGAATTAGTTTTTTAGCTTTACTCTTTATCAACTACAATCTTTTAGCTAAGAATTCACCTAAGCTTTTGCTGATATGAATTGTGCACTCATTCAGGCTGCCCATTTCAAGTTTAAGCTTTATCTTCTGTTCTGCCCAGTAAGAAATCTGTTTTTTAAAAAAAGAAATCTGATAATACGCTATGCTTTATTTTGCTTTACTTACAGTATTCCATTGTATAGTCACACTGTATGTTATTGTGTGAATAAACCATAGCTTATTTATCCATTTTACTGCTGATGAGCATTTGGATAGTGACATCAACACATGAAAAAAAAATGGAGTATTACAGAGTTACTCATATGTATACAAATCCACCAGCATTAAATTTTTTGTTGTTGTTGAAGTGTAATATGCATACAGAAAAGTGTTGTTTGATGAAGTTTCACACACTGAGCACACATGTGCAACCATTACCAACCCCAAGAAAACAGAACATGACCAACTCCCCAGAGGACCAATTCATGGCCCCTCCCAGTCGTTAGCTCCCTTCAGGGGTAACCACTATCCTAACTTCTGATAGCATAAATGAGTTTTGCCTGTTTTTGTACAATACATACTCTTGTGTGTCTCACTTCTTTTACTTAGCATCATATTTAAGAGATTCATATGTTACTGCATTTAGAAGCAGATTGTTCATTCTTAGTGATGTATAGATTTCCATTATATGAGTATATCAACAATTATTTATCTACTTTACTGTCAATGAATATTTCATTTGTTTCCAGTTTGGGGGTTATTATAAATAGAGTTGCTCTGAGCTGTTTAATAGATATTTTTTGGTATACATTCGACATTGGTATATTTCTAGGAAAGCAATTTCTGGACCAAAGCATTTTCATATGTTTAACTTAGGTAGATATTGCAGTTTTCCAAAGTGGTTGTACTATATACATAACATTTAACATTTGATCTCTTGAAGAATCATTTTGAGGAAGGCATGTCAGCATAACCATCATGAGAATAAGTTTTAGAGTCACTCAGACCAAATTCAGCTTACCAGAAAACAGCTATGCCACCTATGCTTAACCTTTTTAAGCCTCAATTTACTTAACTATAACATAGCTAATATAATAAAAACCTTTCTCAAAATTTATGAAAATTAAATGAGATATTTTAATGCAACTTAGAATAATGCCTTGCACATAGTAAGCGCCTAGCTTATTATATGGTGGCTATTAATCATCAGCTCTTACAACATAGGCAACATGGAGAATTAGAAACAAATATGGGCAATATAATCCACAAACAATTTAAATTCTCTGATGGAAGAAAATTGAAACTGTGACCCAAAAGGCATTACCAATTCCAGTGAGCATTACACTTGGACCCTGAAAAAAAATCATTTAAACATTATCCCAAAATGCATTTGCAAATTACTCTTGCCAGAGGCAAGGTTCTTGGGTGCAGTGCATTACCATCCATTTTTTTACCTTACCAGACATTACTCTTTAAAGACAGGACTGCCAAAGGCTACTCTGGAAAGTCACTAATATTATACTTTTTATTATATTTGCCAATTTCACACCTTCCTCAACCCAATCCACAAAGTTGTTGAAAAGTGACTGTAATTACGTTAGTTCCTAGTTTTCCTTGAAACTTACAAGTATGTAATGTATGCTCCACATTCCTAAAATCCCTAAAAATGAGCCCAGATCTTTTCTTTAAATTACAAAAACCAAAAACCTTGCTTTTCTTTTTTTCTTCCTTCCTTCCTCCCTCCCTCTCTCTTTCCCTTTTTTCTTTCTTCCTTTCTTTTCTTTCTTTCTTTCTTTCTTTTTCTTTCTTTCTTTCTTTCTTTCTTTCTTTCTTTCTTTCTTTCTTTC